GATGCAGTGTGTGACTCATGGTAAAGGTCACATGACTATGGCAAACCAGGAGAGACAGATGGACAATTTTTTATTCAATTATAGAATGTTAGCACCATTGGCTGGCCAGCATTCATTGCCCATCCCTAGTTACCCTTGAAAAGGTGGCGGTGAGCTGCCTTCTTGAACTGCAACAGTCCTTGTGCTGCAGGGAAACCAATAATGCCCATGGGAGGGAATTCCAAGATTCTGGCACAGCAACATATTTCCAAATCAGGATGGTGAGTGGTTTGGGGGGGAAATTGCAGGTGATGATGTTCCCTTGTATCTGCTGCCCTTGTCTTTCCAGAAGGAAGTGGTCGTGGGTTTGAAAGTTGTTGATTCAGATGAATTTCTGAAGTTCACCTTGTAGAAATTACATACGGCTGCTACTGAGCATTAGTGATGGATGGAGTAGATGTTTGTGTATTTGGTGCCAATCAAGCCGGCCACTTTGTCCTGGATGGTGTCAAGCTTCTTGAGTGTTCTTGGAGCTGCACTCATCCAAGCAAGTGGCAAGTATTTCTTCATATTCCCGTGTCTTGTAAATGGTGGACAGGCTTTGGAAAGTCAGGAGGTGCATTACTTGCCACAGTATTCCTAGCTTCTGACATACTCTTGCAGTCACTGTGTTATGTGATGAACCTAGTTGAGTTCCTGCTCAATGGTAAGCCTCAGAATGTTGATAGCGGAGGATTCAGTGATGTGCCGTGATTGTTTTCAATCCAAACAAGGCCAGAGTAAGGTTGTAGACAACCTCAACCACAACCAGGGCTACAAATCTTCTCGAAAACTTTAAAGGCCAGAGTAAACTTCTAAACGTCTTCATTATGTGATAATGTACTTGGACACGCACTCATTCCCCTCTCCTTACACTGCTGAACATGTTTTAGAATGTAGCAAATTTGACAACAACAGCACCATTGACAATAAGACATAAGAGCAGAGTTAGGCCTTTTGGTCCATCAAGTCTTCCCTGCCTTTTAATCATGGCAGATGGGTTTCTCAACTCCATTCTCCTGCCTTCTCCCTGTAAGCCTTGATTCCCTTACTAATCAAGAACTTTTCGATCTCTGTCTTAAGTACACTCAATAACTTGGCTTCCATTGTCCTCTATGGCAATGAGTGTCACAGATTGATCACCCTCTGGCTGAAGAAATTTCTCCTTATCTCAGTTCTAACAAGGCTGTGCTCTTGGATCCTAGTCTCTCCTACTAATGGAAACATCTTCTCCACGTCAACTCTATCCAGGCCTCACAATATTCTCTAACTTTGAATCAGATCCCACCCCCCTCCCCCTAACCTCATGCTTCTAAATTCCATCAAGCACAGACCTAGAGGCCTCAAATGACAAACTCTTCATCCCTGGTATTATTGTTGTTAACCTGATGAAGATGTAGACCCAACTGTATCAGTGACATGGCAATTCCTGAATCATTGGGTTGAATTTTAATATGCAGGACATGTGGGGGCGAGGGAAAATGGACAGTATGTCAGATAGCTGTATCTATCCCGCATCTAGCTGTCGTGTTTTGAGCTGTATGTCAATAACCCCTTCTGGAGAGATGAGTGGTAAGTTTTAATTTATTAATGGGTCAATTGCAGTGACAATAACATGGGAGGGATTAGCACGTTTTGAAGTTAGTACAGTAACCTCTGAGAACTGATATCTTTGTTGCCAAAACAGATCACACTGTGAGAAACAGCACCTCCCACATGGAGAAAGACAGTAATTCTCAGAGGTAACTAGATAAGAATCTCACTTATTTTGAGCACCAATCTTGCTTAAATGACTCCTGAACGAACTGAAATACAAATGTTTCAGTGTAATAGCAAGGTGTGACATACAGGCATGAGAGTAATATTGCTCCATGAAAATGTATAATACAACTACATATTACCCATTGACATCACATACATATGAGTAGTGCAGACCATATGCAAAGTTTTAGATATATTTCTAATTAATAACTGAAATGATTTTGACTATTCCACGGCTGTTTAATTAATTCATAATATTGAACAATTGAAAAACATTTTTTAATGGAAATCAGCAGTAAATGGTATGCAAATCAAGTTTACAAATTTCATCTTCCAAAATATCACAGAATTGCTATGATACAGAAGAAAGCCGGTCAACCCATCATATCTGCATCTCTTACAAAATATTGGCTTATGTAGTAGAAGTAATGTGCAAATTCTTATTTTCACCACTCGAATTCATGAAATTCATAGTTTATACTTGAATACCATAATTATATGACAAGAGGAATTCCAACAATAACTGCACAATATTTACTTTCAAGGGCAAGGTGGGAAATAGGGCAAATTTATGTTTTCTGGGCTCTATGTACATCTTTTACACAATTTCTTTTCTGAAAGCGTGTGACAGAAATACTACAATCCCATCTGAGTATTCTGTATTATTTGATGATAGCTTCGAACATCGGCTGAATGCAGACAGAACAAACATATGATTTTACAGTTTGCTCTAAAAATGACAGCATTTTATATAAGGAAATCAGCAGGTGTGATTCTGTCCCGAGACACTTGGCCATGAAATGGATAAAATCATCCGTTTAAAAGTGAATACTTGCTAGGATTTCCAGTTTGATTCATGAATCACAAGACACCAGGTTATAGTCCAACAGGTTTACTTGAAAACACAAGCTTCTGGAGTCTTACTCTAACACTTGTTATCTCAGATTCTCCAGCATCTGCAGTTCCTACTATCCCTTTCAAATAAACCTGTTGGACTATAACCTGGTGTCATGTGATTTCTGACCTTGTCCACCCCAGTCCAACACCAGCACCTCCACATCAGTTTGACTCATGGACATATTTTCAGCATCTTTTGCATTACATTTATATAGCGTTAATCGTTCTATATTATGCTTCTACTATAAATGGTAACATTCAGAGTAAACTTATTCAACAATGCTCTTGATAAGGATTTTATTGTTATTCAAGAGATAGAACGAACAATTATGTATTACTACAGAGGTTAAAAAAAGATTCTGGCCTGGAATTTCCTGGAATGGCACATTTACCATAAAAGCCATAATAGTACAGCACTGTGTGACATAAGTGGAGAAATTACCTAAAGATTTGATGAAGGACTTGTTATACCAGTACAGCCTGTGAAGTGATAATTCAGAACCATGCAGATAAAATAATCCCCTAACGTGAAAAGTTAAATAGTTAAAAAGACGTGCATACCTCCGACTAGGATAATTAATGGTAACACTCTCAGAGAAGAAATGCTTTGAGCATCAGCTTTTCAACTGCCCTTCACCAATTGCCATGGTAGGATTCAAACATGTCCTCAATACTATATTTGAGGTCTCTGGATTACTAGACCACTATGCCACCATCTCCCCAGATGATGGGACAAAATTGTGATTATAAACCTGCATCAAAATCAGGGTATTTAACTCCTGACACGTATACAAATTTTCCTTCCTTTAATGCAAAACATCCACCCCCTCCATACCCAAGAATTTAACCAGAAAGAGTGACAAGGAAGCAGTCAAAAGACATCTGGATACTTCCTAATAAGGCATTTCAAACACTGTGCTCTCAGTTAGTGTACAAGATCTAGACATTGACACTGGTCAATTTCTGTTTCAAGTTAGCCAGCATCTTCCAAGATGGAACATCAACTTAAATATGTATAGTTTTTTAAATTTTATTAAGAATAAGTGTTATTAAGTTGGTCCAACAGTCAAAGCCAAGCAAAGGCTTGTTGAAGATCTTCAAGAAAAATATTCACTCTCTTCATTCAATAAAAATCACACCACTGCTAGATCATGAACATTGTTCTTGTTCAGCCGAAGTGGCAGTGGCAATCAAATCAGTCGTGATGCAGAAATTTTGGATATCAACCTTGATTTTGTTAGGATGGTTAAATATGCCCTTTAGTGTGCTCCGTTTTGCTGACCAGAATAGGACAGGACAGAAGGACACAGGATCCCCGGAAATTTTGGCATGACATAGGTAATGGCTTGAAGCATAGTGTCTTGTAATATCTGCACCATAGTCATCAATACAACATTGGCTTTCAGGATTTTCCAAGATGACGTGCTGTAGAAAAAAAGTCTCCAGCACAAATTTAAAACAGAAAGTATAAGAAAATTAGGCTTATACATAGCTATGTGTTTTTACTACTGTGTCTTTCTCAGTGTTTTCATATCAAATATTGATTTCCAAATTGTTTTGGTGGATAGGATTACATCAACTTAAATCTCAAACTGGAAATCCAGACAATAATTCCTAGTAATTGTGTGAGATTGATAATAGCCACAATTTTTTGCCTGCATTCAAAGACCATTTTCGTATAAATAACAATAAAACCTGGATAACCTAATTGCTTCAAAGTCTATTTATTCTTAGAGATGGTATGCCCAAAATACTAAAATCTGTCTTAGGTGGCTCTGCACACCATCAGCAAAAGCAATGGGAAAGCAAAAATGAGATGTGGAAAGGCAAGTTATTGCTCCTTCATATCTTTGCATTAATATTCATCAAATAGGAAATCCTGTCATATACGTGTTTTTAGCTGCTGTCACTAGACAAAGGCATTAACAGGTTACGTAGAACCAGGCAGTGGTCCAAGTATCGGTCTTTAATTAGAAATAGTAAAATAAATTCAACAATTCTCCGATTGGCTGTAGACATAGCTTTGAAAATAAAAGCACCCGATAAATCTGCTATCAAACATATTGTAAATTGGATTATTTTCAAATGAATTTTTGTGTCTTGTAGATTTCATGTCTGTCTTTGATTGTGAAAATGTTGCCTATATGTATGACTGCATATCACTCTTATGCTCACACTTGCTCAAAATTAAATTGAAAATCCATCTCTACATTACCTCCCAAGAAAATACAAACATGTACAAAATAATACAGTTTAGAGTGTATCTACTGATATAGATCTCTGGTACTTTTCATATAACATATTAGAATATAAAAGGTGCTTACCATCGGCTTAAAAGCTATAAGCTTCAAAACCATCTCAACAGTAAACACTGCAGTGAAGACCATGTTGAGGATATCCATTGTGTAGTTGAAAAATGGAGATTGTTCATAGTGCTAAAAATAGAGACAACAATGCTTCACATGATTACAAAATTACATGCCATTCTTGTCTGTTTATGGTTTGCACTGTGGACTACATTCTTCATAATAAAACAATTCTGGTGCAGGCTTTATCTGCGGTGTATGATGGTTGGGTATTTTTTCTTCTCAATCTTGCATGTCCTACTTAGCCAACATGGTAGATTACTTTTTCAGGATTCCTCCCAAGACACCTAAAACCAGGGCTTAAGCCTTACTTCACATCCACTGTAAGAAATTAGGAGGAGTTAGATCTACTCCAATCATCTTTTTCTAAGCATAGTTGCACCTGTCACCATTTTTTAAAAAGGTTCAATCCCAAAAAATTCTGACTTGTGTGACAGAATTGACATCACTGCAACTTTCAAGTCAGAAATTATTCTCTTCTTCAATCTAATTTGAATGTCTCTCATACTGTCCAGTTGCTGGACTGTGGTTTATTGAAATTGTATCCTAGGTTTAAGGTGGGAGTGGAAAGATTTAAAAGCGACATAAGGGGCAACTTTTTTGTGCAGAGGGTGGTGCATGTATGGAATGAGTTGCCAGTGGAAGTGTTGGAGGTTGCTACAATTACAATATTTAAAAGACATCTGGATGGGTATATGATTAGGTTGGGTTTAGAGGGATATGGGCCAAATGCTGACAAATAGGACTAGATTTATTTAGGATATCTGGTGAGCATGGACAAGATGGACTAAAGGGTCTGTTTCCGTTCTATATATCTCAATGACTCTATAAGAGTCCAAGGCAAGAATTCTCTGAGCAAGTGTCATACAATTTTTATGATTGTTTCTCCTCTTATCACAACTTTGCTTAAATATATATTTAAGCATTGTCTTAAATAATATCCATCGATTAAGAATGCTATTTGTAAAGAAAATCATAATACATAAAATACCACCACCTAAAAAGAAAACATGTACCACTTCAGGATTGCCTTGGCTTTCAAAATCAAAAGACTGTATTGCTTAATATAAAGCAGTAATCAATATTAGGCCACAGAACTAATAAAATATCACTAAACAATGTTCAGACTGTGAACCTTGGTTTCTGAGTGCTGAGCATTGTGTCACTATGAATGTCATTTAGTTTCTAAAATGAGGATGCACGCACATACAGTTCTGCTGCAAGCTGTGCTGGTTACCATTTTGGATAGATGTTAGTATTATATAGGGACAGTCTGCCAGAAGAATGTAGAGCAGGCAGATTTCAATGTCAGTCAGCATGTAATAAGGTTTTGACATCATTGTGCTATTTTGCAACTCTTCAAGGTAACATCCTGCATGGTTAAAAATGCATTCAGCAGCAAGAAAGCATCCCTGCCAATGTAAATTAAAGGGATTAGAGATTACTTTCAGAATAGTTGCTGATTGAGATACACCAGCTATCGCTGTGACTGTATAAATGTTAAATGGTGTCTAAAACATTCTGAAGTTGATAAAGTCGACAGGGAGTGAATAGGTATTTGCTGAAGACCTTTATCCTGATTTCAAAAATTAACCACTTGATCTCAGTCAAGGGTATCATAGAATACATTCACTTTGGACTATACTAAAACAGGGAGAATAATCAATTGTGACACAAAGCAGGACATTCTGTTGGAAGAGGGAGGAGAAGGGAGAAGGATGCTCAGCAGATGTTCACAAATACCATGAGTATTCATGGAGCAATTCACTCCTTGAACCTTAGCGAAGAACAGTATGTCAGATGTCTCTACTTCACAAAACTTATCTCTAAAATCATCAAACTTCTGCAGCTCAACCACAACTTAAGAGTAGACAAAGTCAGAAATCACATAACACCAGGTTATAGTCCAACAGGTTTATTTGAAATCATACACTTTCTGAGCACTGCTCCTTCGTCAGGTGCAGTGAAAGAGGGCACACAGACACAGAGTTTATAGAAAGAGAGGTCAAAGAATCATGCTATTGGTGTGAATGGAGTGAACAAACATAAAATGGCTGATGGAGAACTCTGTGAGAAAGAAGACAAATGTTTTGATTGATTGAGATGCAAATTTTACAGAATCTGTTTCAAGTCACTGTCCTGAGATAATTAAAGGTTTTATTAGTGTCTGCCTAACTTTCCAAACTTCAATCAGGCAGAGATACAAAAGGTGACATCTCAGCTCAGACAATGAATTGTAGGTGTGAGGTCTCGTTCAGAATCTGTGACTGACTTTTAACCTGGAATCAGGCTGGTTTTATTCCAAAAGCAGGAATTTATAAAATGCCACACTGATATTGTGTGTTTTTTGAACAAAATAGAATGTATCTACAAATGGACAAACATCTTGGATGAAATGATTCACCCACAGATGTGTGTGTGTGCGCGCGCGCGTATGCATGAGAGAGCGAGAGCTTAAGAGACAGAGCGAGAGAGCGCAAGCGAGGTGATGCTGTCATAACAGGACAGTAAGGAAGGTTTTACAAATACAGAACACTGTAGCGCAATATGAACCCAAGATCACAGTTGAGGCCGTCTTCACGGGTACGGAACTTAGGTATCATTCTCTGCTTGGCAATTCTGCCTTGTTGTGTATTGCAAAGTCCGCCTTGGAGGATGTTTACTCGAAGATCGGAGGCTCTGGGGCCTTGACCACTGAAGTGTTCCCTGACTGGGAGGGAACACTCCTGCCTGGTGATTGTTGCATGGTGTCCATTCATCCATTTTCGTAGCGTCTGCATGGTCTGGCCAATATACCATGCCTCGGGGTATCCCTGGCTGCAGCGGATGAGATAGACATTGAACCAGTCACATGAGTATCTGCTATGTACATGGTGATGGTGTTAAATGTCGATAATCTGACATGCCTTGCAGTGGTTGCCATAGCAGGGTTGTGTGGTGTTATGGTCAATGTTGTCCTGAAGGCTGGGTAGTTTGCTGCGAACAATGGTCTGTTTAAGGTTCGGCCATTTTTTGAAGGTGAGAAGTGGAGGCATAGGGAATACCTTGGTAAGGTGCCCATCGTCATCGATGACATGTTGAAGGCTGCAAAGACCAAGGTGTAGTTTCTCCGCTCCAGGGAAGTATTGGACAATGAAGGGTACTCTATTGGTTGTATCCTGTCTTCTGAGGAGGTCGCTGTGGTTTTTTTGCTGCAGCATGTTAGAATGGCAATCAATAAGCCGAGCATCATATCCCATTCTTATGAGGGCATTCCTCAACCCTTCAGGTGTCCATCGCATTCCCCCTCATCTGATCAGATCCTGTGTATGCACAGGGCTTGTCCTTCGGGGATGGTGTTTTTAATACGTTTAGGGTAAAGGTAGAGAAGTGCAGCATTGTGAGGTTATCTGTGGGCTTGCAGCAGAGTGAGGTACTGAGGTGTCTGTCCCTGATGGAGATGCATATGTTCAAGAATGAGACTAATTCTAAAGAGTAGTCCAAGGTAAATCTGATGGCGGGATGAAACTTGTTGATATTGCTATGTAGTTCTTTCAGTGATTCCTCACCATGAGTCCAAAGGAAGAAAATGTCATCAATGTATCTAGTATATAGCGTTGGTTGGAGGTCCTATGCAGCAAAGAAGTCTTGCTTGAACTTGAAAGTGTTGGCATATTGGGGTGCAAATTTGCACCCCATGACTGTTCCATACGTCTGGATGAAGAACCGGTTGTCAATGGTGAAGATGTTGTGGTCGAGGATGAAGCGGATGAGTTGTAGGATGGCGTCTGGAAATTGGCATTTGGCCATATTAAGTACTGAGGCTGTTGCAGCGATGCTGTCATAATGGGGGTGCTGGTGTGGAGTGTCAAAACTTCCATTGTGACGAGGAATATTCTTGGTTCGACTGGTCCATGTTTCTGGTCTGAGTTTGTGTAAAAAATCCATTGTATCGCAATTGAAGCTGGGGGTTCCTTGTACAGTGGGTTTCAAGATGCCCACAACATAGCCAGAGAAATTCTCACACAGGGTCCCACTGCCTGATACGATGGGATGTCCAGGTATGTTGCTTTCTGCATCTTCGGAAGGCAGTAGAAGTCCCCTATGCGAGAGGTACATGGGATGAGACTGCATAGGATCAAAAGTCTTGATCAGTCTGTTGAGTTCACAGGTGTGTTCTTTGGTCAGAATGGCAGATTGTTGTCTGTACTGTTCCCTGCTGTTCAGTTTTCAGTCCTTTCTATCAGAGTTCTCCATCAGCCATTTTATGTTTGCCCACTCCACTCACACAAGTTGTATGATCCTTTGATCTCTCTGTCTATAAACTGTGTCTATGTGCTCCCTCTCACTGCACCTGATGAAGAAGTAGCACTCCGAAAGCTTGTGATTTCAAATAAACCCGTTAAACTATAACCTGGTGTTGTGTGATTTTTGACTTTATCCACTCCAGACCAACACCAGCCCTCCACATCATGGCTACCATTGGTAACTAAAGAGTAGGGCAAAGATGGCATTGCCTCTGACTGCGGTGATAAGTGTTTTAAGTGTAGAGCTCGGCTGGAGCAGGTGAAATTTGTAGCATCTCCCTGCATGTCACGCATTGCATCATAAGGTAGGTCACTGAGACTATAACCTTCCAGAAAGGAGCAGACACAACATGCACAGCTTCATAGCTGCAGGCTTCCCCATGCAGGGCACTATTGTTTACACACAAGACACCTTGCAGGTGCAGTATGTAAATCCTAAGATACATCAGGCTCCGAAATTAATAAGGGCAGAAGGCATACTATTCCCTCAATAACCAGCACGCAACTATGAACAGCATATCATGCAGATATTGCCAAGTAACCTGGCCAGTCATGATACGGCAGGCCATTGTGTCATCATCATTTTGAAATGTTACTTCTATTTGTCTCTCCATGGATGCTGCCAAATCTACTAAGTTTCTCCAGCATTTTTTCTACTCGAGAATTCCAGCATCTACAGTATGTTATGTTTATTTCAGTGTACAATTCTTAGGTAATGGAACGAAGTAAAGAACAAGGATAAGGATATCATGAGGGTTGTGGTTAAAACAAGAGTTACATGCAGTTACATGCTACCATCATCAGCTGCTTGCAAATCAGAAGGGGAGGAAGTAAAATGTGTGAAAGAGGATTGGATAGGAGGATTCTATCATTTTCAATAGTTTCAACCTTCCTGTTGGCTACAACCTCATCTTCTGCAGCTGCGCCCATCTCTCACCTGTCAGATCCCATTGCCTCTGGTTAAGCAATACCTTGTCTTGCAAGCATGGAGGAGTGTCAATGAGTGCTGTTGATTAAGATTGCTGCTAGGTAAATGATGGGATCATTGAGCATGGAACAAGTGTATGAAGCTGATGGTGCAGCTGGTGGGAAATGACATTTGAAGATATTAATTGACCTTAATTACTCATGTGAGGTCAGTGGACTTTTAGCAGCACTGTGTTCAGGTTCAAGGGGCTATTTGGTCCAACTCCCTTCATTTGTCTGAAGAACCTCCTGACTCAAATGTGGATAGATAACATCCTCTCTTCCTCCTCTCGACCTCCTGCAGCATGGCCTCAAGTGCAGAGCACAGCATCATAAAATCTTAGAGTCTGCCCTCATGCCATGGGCCAGGCAATTAGGAGTTTCCTACATCAAACTCAATTTTAGAAAGACCTCCAGCACCTGGTCCAGTCACAAAGCACCTTCCCTTTAATTATTGCAGACTGCTTTTAATTTGTACTGTTCTCTCACAATTCCGTACCCCTATGTAGCTATACAGCCACTCAACAACACAATTAATACTGGCTATGCGCTATAATCATTTAATTTAGTAGGCAGTACAAAGACTTGTGCATTTTTGTTAGAAGCAATGGCCATGAGATGATGCTGCATCATGATCTCAGCATCCATTTTTGGGGTCTGACCAGTTTCCTGGGCCATATCTTTAAATTAATTACACAAACAATACTAAATATTTTCTTAACTGTAATTTATAAATAAATATATTTTCAAAAATCTGAATAAATTAGGACTATTAATCTAATATCTAGCTTTAGTAGTATGTTTTTGCATTCTTCCTACCTGTACAGCCAAGCAAAGCGTGTTCAACATGATGAGGACAAACATGATGTATTCAAACCCAGTTGAGTTTACCACATACCAAAATTTGTACTGGTAGGGGTTCTTTGGGATGTATCTGCGAAGCGGCCTGGCCTTCAGAGCATATTCTACACACTGCCTCTACAGAAACAAAAGAAGGTTTCCAGTGATCAACTAGTATGGCTTGTCCATCATACTTAAGAATCCACAAACTAAGAATATTTTCTAAGTAGCCTATTATATCTTAATAAAAATAATGAATAAAGTATCATCAACTGGTGTTCATTTCCATGGCCTCAAAAAATATTGGAAGTAAAAATGGTCTTCATCAACAGCACAAAATAGGCAGTGTGAATGACTGATTTTGCAGCCATGTTTAAAATTGTTGTCAATTCACCATTGTTCACTTAAGTGCTATATGCACAATTTTACCCCATTCACTTCAATGGATCTCAACAAACATGACACATCAGCTTCTACATTGCTTCCATTTCAGCAAACATCAACCTCATATCGAAACCCGAGCAATTTTATAGCCCCAACAACTCTGTAAAAATCAAACTCAATTTTCACACTTTGATAAGGAGTCTCTTGCCATCAAATATTTCACTCCTTTAGTATATATGTATGCCGATACTGGAAGTTGTGTGAATAAGTGTGTGTGAATTGTTGTCATTTTATTCAATTGAATGTTCAGTCAGATTATCTAGGCTGCAGCAGTCTATTTCATATTCATTGTCCCATCACATGAATGATAAAAATGATGTATCAACTTATAGTTTGTGTCACACTGTCTCTCTCTAAACAACACTTTGAATTAATGCAATACATTTAATGTAGAAGTATGTCTCAAGGTATTTCATAAATAAAAAAATCATCCAATTATGGCAAGACAAAATGACAGAAAGACCAGGAACGCAAATTCACATGGGGCAAATAAATTTAACTATCAGGATATACATTACACAACAATGTCTTATTTACTCCTCCCAGTTTACCCCAGCGGTCAAAGTTAAAATCTTGCCCCTCATTTTATGCTTTGCAATAAAATGCTGTTTCATTTACATTTTTAAATACATCTGATCAGTAAATATCAGTTAACACTATTGATATACAGTACATGGGATTTTTCAAACAAATCAATATAGGTTTGATTATTTAGTGCTATGATCCAATGTTGTTACACTCCTGATGTTTGCAAATTCAATGATGAAATAAATGGCTTTAAGAAGGTAGGGTGTAAAATTGCTGGGTAAGTAAAATTAACAAGAAGATTCATTCTACAGAATGAAATGCATTTCTGTAATTGATGGGAACCTATGGAGATATTTGCATCTCATAATGGTTATTTTGAGAAGCAGAGTTAATACAGGAAAATGAATAGTACAAGATAAAAAGTAAACACACTGAAATAACTGTACACAGGCTGGTAACTTGCCAGTGAGTCACCCTGCATTTGCTTGTGCACAGTACACTGGCTGGGGCCAGCCAACTGAGAGTCAGTCCCCTGAACTAAGGAGATTCCAAATCCCCTGTTTATATGGGTCAGCCAGGGCTTCCTGGTTGGGGTTGTTTACCTGGGCCAATCAAGGATCTCGTAGTCAACAAGATCCACCTGGTTACAATCATTACATCCCGATTCCCTCACCACGTCCGGGGATGTGGGCCTGGTCTTTCTCATAACTTTTCCTGAGACATTTTCATCCCAAGTCCAGTTCCTTGGATTCAGACTGACACAGACGGCATATACCAGACCATACCTGTCTCTTCTATCCGGAGCATCTCAGGAGAGTTTCCTCCTCTTCTTCCGGCGGTAGCAGCATCAAGGGGGCATCCATCTCGGATTCCTAGGTTTCCTCAACATTAGATGGAGGGGCATAACCTACGGTTTCTGACAGGTCTTCGGGCTGTTCTGAGGGCCCAGGTATGTTTTGCTCTTGCCCTGTTTGAGAGGTTACAGTTTTCAAGTGATCCACGTTTGTTCAGGACTGTCTCACTTACCCAAAATTTGTAAGTCATGGGACTTGACCTTCCATCAACCTCACCTCGTATACATACAGGGCGATTCCCATGGTTCCGGCACCCCTGAATTAAATTGTCTCTCTTGCTTAGAGGAACCGTGTGGCCGGTGTTGGCTTTCCTGCTGCTGTTTCACCCTAACCCTGTGTCTGGAAATATCAGGTTTAACCTGGTGCAAGTCTTCTCCCCCTCAGGAACTCTGCTGGAGCTATCCCTGTTGTTGCGTGCAGGGTAGTCTGATAATTGAACAGAAACTGGGACAGTTTGGTATTGAATAACACTGTAGACTGCTTCTTGAAGCCTGCCTTCATGCTTGGACCGTTCTTTCTGCGAGACCATGAGATGATGTATGGTATGGAGCTGTCCTTAAGTGCCAGATGCCATTCCACTTCAGGAAATACTCAAATTCCCGACTGGTAAATAACATCCCATTGTCTGTGACCAATACTTCTGGGAGACTGTGTATCGTGAACAATGCTCGCAACTTCTCAATCGTCTTCCCTGAGTTTGCTGAATGAACTTTATGCACGTCCAACCACTTTGACCAGGAGCATTCAGCCATGAAACTACGATGTGGCGGCCATTACAGAAACTTGGGTAACTCGGGGACAGGAATGGTTGTTGGAAGTTCTTGGATTTAGATGCTTTAAAAAGAAATAGGGATGGTGGTAAAAGAGGCAGGGGAGTGGCATTGCTAACGAGGGCGAGTATAGCAGCTACTGAAAGGCAGTTCGAGAATGATATGTCTACAGAGTCAGTTTGGGTTGAGGTCAGGAACAAGAAAGGAGCAGTCACATTGTTGGGTTTTTTTTTAAACAGACCCCCTAATAGTTGCAGAGAAGTGGAGGAGCGGATTGGGAGGCAGATACTGGAAAGGTGCAGAAGTCACAGGGTTGTAGTCATGGGTCACTTCAACTTTCCAAATATTGATTGGAAACATTTTAGTTGTAATAGTTTAGATGGAGCGGATTTTGTCGAGTGTTTTCAGGAAGGATTCCTGACACAGTACATAGATAGACCAACACGAGGAGAGGCCACTTTGGATTTGGTGCTTGGCAATGAACCGGGCCAAGTGTTGGACCTGTTGGTAGGAGAACATTTTGGCGGTAGCGATCATAACTCTGTTACTTTTACAATTGTCATGGAAAAGGATAGGTACATACACAGGGTAAGGTTTATAATTGGAGGAAGGGTAATTACAATTCTGTTAGGCAAGAACTGAGTAACATAAAATGGGAACAGATACTGTCAGGGAAGAGCACTATTGAAATGTGGAGATTGTTTAAGGAATGCATACTGCATGTGCTCGATATATTTGTCCCTAGCAGCCTTGGTTCTCAAGAGAGGTCGAACGACTGGTTAAGAGGAAGAAGGATGCTTATATAAGGTTTAGGAAACAAGGATCGGAAAAGGCTCTAGAGGGATACAAGTTAGCCAGGACACTTAGGAGAGCTATAAGGGGGCATGAGAAAACCTTGGCAGCTAGGATCAGGGAAAACTCCAAGGCTTTTTGCACGTACGTGAGGAATAACAGAATGACCAGAGAAAGAGTAGGGCCGATTGTAAAGGGAATTTGTGCACGGAGCCTAAAGAGATAGGAGAGGTCCTTAATGAATACTTTTCTTCGGTATTCACAACTGAGAGGGACCTAGTTGTAGAGGAGGACAGTGTGAAACAGGCTGGTAGGCTAGAGGAGGTCAATGTTAGTAAGGAAGATGTACAAGGAATTTTGAGGAACTTGAAGATAGATAAGTCCCGCGGGCCTGATGGGATTTATCCAAGTATTCTATGGGAAGCGAGGGAAGAGATTGCAGGGCCTTTGGCGATGATCTTTTCGTCCTCACTGTCCACGGGTATCGTGCCGGAAGATTGGAGAGAGGCAAACGTCATTCCCTTGTTCAAAAAAAGGGAATAGGGATAATCCCGGAAATTACAGGCCAGTTAGTCTTACGTCAGTGATAGGCAAATTATTGGAAAGGACTCTGAGAGATAGGATTTATGATCACTTGGAAAGGCACAGCTTGATTCGTGATAGTCAGCATGGATTTGTGAGGGGTAGATCATGCCTCACAAACCTTACTGAATTCTTTGAAGAGGTGACCAAACACGTAGATGAAGGAAGAGCAGTGGATGTGGTATACATGGATTTAAGTAAGCTGCTTGATAAGGTTCCTCATGGTAGGCTCATGCAGAAGGTAAGAAGGCATGGAACAGGGGGAAATGTGGCAGATTGGATTCAGAATTGGCTGACCCTTAGAAGACAGAGGGTGTTAGTGGACGGAAAATATTCAACATGGTGCTCAGTTACAAGTGGTGTACCACAAGGTTCTGTTCTGGGTCCTCTTCTACTTGTGATTTTTGTAAATGATTTAGTTGTAGGAGTGGAAGAGTGGATTAGTAAGTTGGCGGATGATACGAAGGTGGGTCGAGTTGTGGATAGTGCGGAGGGCTGTTTTAGGTTACAAAGGTACATTGATAGGATGCAGAGCTGGGCTGAGAAGTGGCAGATGGAGTTTAACCCTGAAAAGTGTGAGATGAGTCATTTTGGAAGGACAAACTTGAAAGCAGAATACAGGGTTAACAGAAAGGTTCTTGGCACTGTGGAGGAGCAGAGGGATCTTGGGGTTCATGTCCACAGTTCCCTGAAAGCTGCCACCCAGGTGGATAGAGTTGTTAAGAAGGCGTATGGTGTGTTAGCTTTCATTAATAGAGGGATTGAGTTCAAGAACCGTGAAAGTTATGCTCCAGCTATACAAAAGCCTGGTTTGGCCACATCTGGAGTATTGTGTCCAGTTCTGGTCGCCTCATTACAGGAAAGATGTGGAAGAGTTGGGAAAGGTGCAGAGGAGATTTACCAGGATGTTGCCTGGAATGGAGGGAAGGTCTTATGCGGAAACGTTGAGAGAGCTAGGGCTTTTCTCTTTGGAACGACGAAGGATGAGAAGTGACTTGATAGAGGTGTACAAAATGATCAGGAGGTATAGATAGAGTGGACACCCAGAGACTTTTTCCTAGGGTGGAGGTAGCTATTACGAGGGGGCATAGTTTTAAAGCGGGTGGAGGTAGATATAGGGGAGGCGTCAGAGGTAGGTTCTTTACTCAGAGAGAGGTCGGGGCGTGGA